TATACACTTTGGCAAACTAAATGTTTTTCAGTTAGAGTTTTCATGTACTGTAATCCAGTTAAAAAACCCTCCATTCCTTATGTAGTACTTTTTACTTTATACTTGAACTGTGTGGTATAATGTTTGCTATTCTAAAGTCCACTTAGGAACCACATAGTGTGTATGGTATACTGCCTAAACAACTAACTTGTTTAAAAGTTAGATGCATATGGGGGCAGTAATAAACAAGATAGAGACCAATGTGACGTAGTATCTGACCACAGATATGTAGCAAAAGTTGTCCTCCACATAAACAATAAAGTATGCATAAAAGCTTGTAAATAACTTCCAAATGACATATGCAGTTCATTGAAAAGAGAAAAATACAGAATGCCCACCTGCCCCCAGTAATCAACTTTATTTCTAGTATAGCTACATTTATGAGTGAAAGTGTATATTTATAACTCATACATTCTATAATAATAAAATCTGGAATAGGTGATTGGGAAGAATTATTCTGGTGCTGAGTCAGCTTTGTTTCATCTTGATTTATGTTCACATTGCTAAAATGTTTTACGTGTTCAACTACCACTCTTTCTTTTCAAGTCCATTGACAGCACTGTGTTAATGAGCTGCACCTATGTCACATTAAAAGCAAAGAAGCAACTTCAACTGTGGCACCAGACTCAGAACTGAGTCATTTAAAGGATAAGTTCACCGTCGGGAACATGTTTCATGTTCCACCAATTTTTAAGGTGTAATATGTACATGTTCCTGCTTCTGCAGCTCTCTCCTTGACCCCCTTCCCCCTGTGATAACAGGCCAGGGAACTTCTCCCCACAACCGTTGTCACTTTTTGAAAAGGGTGTGACCGTGCGGGGCTCCACCCATGTGGCCGGGTCATTCTTTCACAGAGTTCTGAATGAATAGACTACAAGTACAACAGCCTTTCTCAATGAACAGTGGGGGAGCTGGTGAGCATCCTCGTAGTTCACTGATTCTTCTTGGACTGAAATAACTGCCTGCCCGTATTTGAGGTACAGGCAGACAGATACACTAAGAGGAGCCTGACATTGCACCTGTGATCTGATGGTGCAATGTTTTCCTTTTTTTCCCATGAATTGAGCTTTCTTTTGGTGGTATTTGATTGCCTTGTGCTATAACAAAAAGACAATTTTGAGAAAAAAACAATATTTTTGACTTTGCTATTAAACATGTCCAGTAAAAAAAATAAAAAAATCAAATTTTGTCATAAATTTATGCCAAAATGCATTCTGCTACATGTCTTTGCTAAAAAAAAATCCCAATTCATGTAAATTAATTGATTTACATGAAAGTTATAGCGTTTAGCAAAGACATGTAGCAGAATACATTTTGCCCTAAATTTATGGCAAAATTTTATTTTTTTTTACTGGACATGTTTAATAGCAAAAAGTTAAAAATATTTGTTGTTTTTTTTCAAAATTGCCGGTCTTTTTTTTTTTTTAGCACAAAAAATAAAAAATGCACAGGCGATCAGATACACTGAAAGAAATCCCAATTCATGTAAATTAATTGATTTACATGAAAGTTATAGCGTTTACAAATGGCGGTATAGATACTGGAATTTTTTTTTGTACTAGTAATGGCGGCGATCAGCGACTTATAGCGGGACTGCGGCAGACATTCTGACACTGGGGGGAACAGACTTGGTGTCACTGACATCCCCAGTTACACCAATACAGTGATCAGTGCTAAAAAAAAGCACTGACACTGTACTAATGGCACTGGGCAGGAAGGGGTTAACATGTGGAGCGATCAAAGGGTTAACTGTGTGCTGTTTCACAGTATGCTTTGTGAGTGCTTTCCACAGTAAGCACAATGCTTTGTATGGCTGACACCAAGTCAGTTCCTCCCAGTGTCAGAATGCCCGCCGTAGTCAGGTTATAAGTCGCTGATCGCCGCCATTACTAGTAAAAAAAAAAAATTCCAGTATCTATACTGCTATTTGTAGCGCTATAACTTTCACGTAAACTAATTAATTTACATGTATTGGGATTTTTTTTTTAGCAAAGACATGTAGCAGAATACATTTTGCCCTAAATTTATGGCAAAATTTAATTTTTTTTTACTGGACATGTTTAATAGCAAAAAGTAAAAAATCTTTGTTTTTTTTTTTTTCAAAATTGCCGGGTTTTTTTTTTATAGCACAAAAAATAAAAAACGCACAGATACACTGAAAGAAATCTCTATTTGTGGGAAAAAAGGATGTCATTTTCATTTGGGTGCAGTGTTGCATGACTGCACAATTGTCAGTTAAAGTAACGCAGCGCCGTATCGCAAAAATGGCCTGGTCTGGAGGGGGGGGGGGGGCAAATCCTCTGGAGGGCAAGTGGTTAATGAAGTTCAACCATCTGGATTCTTTTGGCGTTCTGCAGTACAGCGAGCAGGACGGGCTTGCACCTTGTGAAGCTTTGGCGGGTGAGCAGTGGCCTGGAGCAGTGCACAAGTTCTTTGCAGCGTTAGGGCTGTCTCTGGTATCCAACATTTCCCGGGATCCCATGCAGCCATGTCTTTCTTCTCTGCAGGCTTTGCAATGATAAACTGAGGGGCTCTTGCTGCAAAAAGAACATTCTAGTTTTAATTTTCACACTTATAAATTTGTAACATGGTTGAGAAGAGAATTAATAGAGTCTGTATGAATGTGCACATCATTCACATGTTCATAGGAGAGCACACATTAAATACTACCTACTATATTGGCATGCTGAGACTTGTAGTGATTCAGCAGCACACATTGATTTTTGCTGACCCAGGCTTATCAGTCTTCGCTTGGCTGTCTCGTTCAGCTGGTCCTCCTTAGCAGTCACTGTGACAGGCAGCAGACATACTCAGTATGTATGATCAGTATGAAACAGCTCTGAAAACTCATCTCGGCCAATGTCACTTCTTCATTAGCAGGACCTGGCAGAGGTGATCAATCTGCACATGACAGGAGTAACAAGAAAAGGAAGACGGTGAATTAAACTAGAAATGCCAGAATTATGAAAGAAGCATATCAATTCTCAGAGAATGAGCAACGTCGCCGAGGCCAGTGCTGTCCAGCCATGTGACCGCTTGCTAGTGCCAGACAAAAAAAAACATTTTTCTATCAGAGGACAGAGAAAGAGAACTAAAGCCTTTGTATTTAATGCCTGCGGTGGAAATGTAGCCTTCAGAAAAAAAGACATTGAGAGTAAGATAACCTCAATTATATTTCAGGAAACTGTAGGATGTATTCTTATAGGTTATTGAATTTAAATAAGGTGTGGGGGTGAAATATTACCACATTCAAAAAGCACCGTCATATGTGTTTCTGGGGGATTGGGATCAATATTGTAACTGGAAGATGTGACCAAGGCAGAACTCCAAATAAGCAGATAAACATACATTTGAAATAAGTAAATAATTACATGGAAACTGGATTACCCACCAAAGGATTTTAAATTCTATTCGAACTCAGTCAGTCTTCTTATCCAGAAACCCCTTTTTAACAGCACAGCCAGATCCAGGACCTCTCCACTGCCGGCAGCTGTTAGCCAGCTTGGTCATGGGCCCACCCCAGTCTCTGATTGGACAATAGAGGAACATCAGCACTCTGATGAGATCATCCCATTGCTCTACATTCCTGTTAGTATGTTCACAATGACAGAACTAAGTACAAAGCAATAGATCCACGTGGAAGAAAAATATATTTGAAATACCTCCTAGATTGTAAGCTCCAAGGAGCAGGGTCCTCCTATCCAGGGGCTGACTGAACATTTGGAAACTCGGGCACTGCCCGAGGGCCTGGGGGTCAGTATGGGGCCCCATGAGATGCCCCTGGTACCTTTTTCATAGGCTTTTTTGAGTTTGGGCAAGGACACAGGGGCCCCATGATCCCCTATTGCCCGGGGGCCCCATGAGTTGTCAGTCCGCCCCTGCTCCTATCCCTCTTGTATTGAACTGTGTTGTTGCTGTATTGTCTCCCTTTATATTTTAAAGCGCTGAGCAAACTGTTGGTGCTATATAAATCCTGTATAATAATAATTTTAAAAATATACTTCCCAAATATATTTTCAAAAATATATATTTATTTAAAATATATTCTTCAGATTTTTTTAACATATCAAAAAGTAATTTTAACATATATGTTTACATATATTTGTAAATGCATTCCAAAAATGTAGATTTGTATTGTTAAAGACATACAGTATATTTGAAATGTATTTTTAAAAATATTTTTCATATATTTTGTAATAAAAATGTATTTCAACATGCAGTATATATATATATATATATTTAATATTTTGAATATGGCCAAAATTGTAGCATTTCAAATATATGGCAATATATTTGGGAAGAATATTTTTAAAATTCTTTTATATTTTATATTTCAAATATATTTTTATTTGATATGGGGAGCCCTAATTGGCTTCATGTTGCACCTTCCCTGGAATTAGTAGATAAATTAAAGTGGTAATAAACCCAAAAGTTAACATCTATTAGTTTATTATATTGCAGTTTGCCAATTCTTAGATGTGATGGCAGCATTAGTTTTCCTTTTTAGGCTTTCTTTCTTCTATTATCTACTGGTGATCTGGCCAGAAAGTATGTTGCTTTTCAAAAGCACAAGCTCTCCAGCAGAATATATCAGTTTACATGAAACAAACCACTTAATACTGGCAGGGGTGATTTAACCTCTCTGGCCTTATGATTATTTCAGATTTTTGGTGCTGAAAGTGGTACCAATATTTTGCATGGAAATTTGGCGTTTTATATTGTAGGCCTGTAATTCTTAGGAATAACTCACTGAAATCTGTCCGAACAAGAGTTTAGTAAACATCCCGGGTAGGATAAAACTTGAAACACGAAATCATAAATTATAATTTAATAAATAATCATAAAAAATAATAATATAATAATAATACATTTAATTCAATAATATAATCAAACCAAAAACACTGAAATTTGAAATATAGCGCCAAGTTCGCAGATCACTGAGCAAAGTCGCAAGATTGTTTTCAGTGTCTGATGACGAATTTCCCCACGAATCATTATCACTCAATTCTGCAAGTGGTTCTGATTTACTATCGCTGTTCTCTAGCTGGTCTAAAACCGATTTTGACCTAAAGGGACGCTTTTTGGACACCATGGACATTTCTCAGTTTCCGGGCAGAAAGAACAGTAAAAATGCAGGCAGGCCACAGGACAAAGCATTAGGGACAAAATGTATGTGAAATGGTTTGATACAATAATGTTTTACTATGTGATTTTAGTGAATGTCACTTTTTGTCATTTTCAAATTTCCCGCCGTTCCGTCCCCCATACATCCCGACGCTCGCAGGGGATGGAACCCAGATGACAGATGCCGGCATCCACTGGATTACATTGCCGGGGACACTGCAGGAGGGATATCGCGGGTGCGCAGGACAAGGTAAGTGATCGAGGGATCGCAGAGCAGCGCCGCATTGTATTCCCGAGTGTAGCTCGGGGTTACCGCTTGTGGTACTAAAATTTTACCCCGAGCTACACTCGGGAATACTGCCAGGGAGGTTAAGTGATCCAATTTTATTTATTTATTTATGCAAAACCTTTATCTCAAAAGGAAGAACTATTTGCTACAACTGGTTATAAATTGTGAGCTGGAGTTTGGCTTTCGTTTGTTAGTGTATCTAAATCTGCTAATGAATGTAACACCCCCTTTCCCCCAGACTGACAATTCTGCTGCCTGCTCTGCCTCCTGTGTTCATTCCTCTAGAGTGGTGTCTCACTAATACTAGAGATGTGTTACTGGCCAGATCACCAGGTGAAAACAGAGGGGGAAACAGTGAAAGAAAAGAAAACTGATACAGCCACCACACGATTGGTAAGCTGCAATATATTCAATGTTTAGTTTTGCGTTTAATGCCACTTTAAAGTATTTAAGCTAATGCAAGGCAAATTTACCTCTAAAAGATAAGTTTACTTTAAATAAATAACAGCCCACCTTGCCTGGACGTCTACCCTAAGTAAACCTAGAACCCTTCTACCTAGGTACTCATCTAACTCTTCTATATGGCCTCCTCTTGTGTTTACATTGAATAAAAGGTACTGCACGTACTGAAGGACAATTTCATGGGTCAAATGGTAGATCCCCCAAAAAAATGTCTCCACTAGATCTATTAATTTCAGGTAACACACATCTCATTGCAATTGTACAAATTAGAGACAACTTAGGCAATAGGGACTGCTGTTACAGGAAAGAGAGGTAGGTGGGCAGATGCTCCAAGAATTAGTATTTTAAGGGTGTTTTAAACAATGACTTTTGCCAATGCATTATATTGAGTAATGAGTATAAGAGCACGAAAGCTAAACCGATGTGGCTAAAGTCCAATTTGCTTGTAAGTCCAAGAAAGCTAGCCTAGCTACCCAACCAACACAATTGGCCCAATACATTACTGTAATAGGTTTCTAAGACATTTCACACAACTAATACATGGGAAAAAAAGGTTGAAATAAAGATACAGTACTGTATATAGTAAAGTACACAGAAGCAAAGCCATTTGTAGAGGATGCATGCATAAGAATGTATGCCAAAAATGTGAACTAACTCAGGGTCCTTTCACAGGGGCATTACGTTTTTTTCATAAGTTCAGTCATGTTTTTATCCAAGAAAAAACAGATCAGTTCACGTCAGTTTTTTTCATCACTCTACATCCATTTTTCATCAGATTACATTAATTTTTTTTACACCCTTTACCAATGCAAAAACGGACCGTATGTCCGTTGACATCCATTTACACCCATTTTTCATCAGTTTACATTCGTTTTTTTTACACCCTTTACTAATGCAAAAACGGGCAGTATGTCCGTTAACATCCATTTACACCCATTTTTCATCAGTTTACATCCATTTTTCATCAGTTTACATTCGTTTTTTTTACACCCTTTATTAATGCAAAAACGGACCATATGTACGTTAACATCCATTTACACCCGTTTTTTGTCCGGTCCAGTTTTTTTTACAGAAGAAAAATAGGGTTTTCTTCCGTTAAAAAAAAACGGATGTTAAGGCATGCAGACATGAACAAATGTAAAGGGATGAGCATCCATTTACGTCCGCTAGTCCTGAGAAATACATGGGTGTCTGTTTTTCATCTGTAAACTGACAGATGAAAAACAGACATACGGAAAGCCAGTGTGAAGAGCCCTCACATGATTGGACATGCAAACGCATGTCCGTATCTTTAGAAAGGGAGAATGTCACCAGCACACTGAGGATCACCAATATGGGTCCAAAAGTTTTAATAAACAATCATATAGTTACAGCAAGGCAACGTTTTGGAGTCTCGCAGGACCCCTTCATCAGGCATGTGACCACGTTACCTTGCTGTAACTATGTGATCGTTCATTAAAACTTTTGGCCCCATATTGGTGATCCTCTAAGTGCTGATGACATTATCCCTTGCTGATTCTGTTCAGTTCCAGCCGACGGTCGCTGCAGCACCCACTTATACACACAGCCATTTTTAAACGCAGGAACGTGTGCGTTTGGATTGTACACTTGCGTATCTTTAGAAATTTGCATCTGGAAGGTTGTGTGTAGGGGGCTAACTGTAAATGAAAATAAAATGTCCTTTGAAAAATACACAATGGAAGGAACAGATTCAACATTTGATAGTTACAAGGGATACCATACGAGATGTATGAGAGCAATCAGAGCTGAAAACGATGAAAATTATAAATCTGCAGAAAGTAAGAAAAACCCAAAAAGATTCCACAAATATATCAACATCAAGAGCGTCAGGACAGAAGACCCATGAAAGATAAATATGGGCTATTGGTCACAAACGATAGAGAAAAAGAAATCATGGAAATGAAAATGCTTATACTGATATAGAGAAAGCACTCTTGTGGCTGTCAACCAGACTAGAAAAGCTAAATGTAATTAAATCACTGGAACCTACATTGGAGAGTCCTCAGAGAGCTCAGGATACATTTCTGTCTATAACAGTACTAAGAGATTGAAGTAGAGCAAATGTGGTACCACTATTTAAAAAGGGGTAGAGATGTATACTAGGTAACTACAGACCAGTCGGCCTAACATCAATAGTCTGCAAGGTGTTTGGGGGGAAAATAGTCTTATAAAGCTGGCCATGGATAGATTGAAATTTGGCAAATCCGATTTTCGATTCAGCTATGGCCAATCCCATTCATGAGAAGTTGATCTGATGATCACAAATTGTTGGAAAATGTTTGTTCGATCAGCACTTCAGCCAATTGGCTGTAGCACTGATCAGTGAATTCTGACAGCAGAGAGGTCCCTGGTGTCAGAATACAATGACACAGTGGGGAGGATTCCTCCATCCACCTTGCTTATGTGGACAGAGGAATCCATTCAGCTTTTGTTTCTTTGATCAGCCCACCGTCTGTTCGAACAAACTGACCCATGTATGCTCAGTTTTAGTAACAACCAACATGATTTGTTAAATGGCTGCTCTTGAGAAAACAATCTGTTGGCAGAGGTAAGGCAGTAGATGTAGCTTATCTTGATTTTGCAAAGACATTTGACGCTGTGCCCCACACTTAAATAATATGTAAACCTAACATTTCATACTCCTGATATGTGCCTGTTGTACCATGTACATGTATTAAAAAGCATCCTGTTCTCTTTGCATTGCTTCCTTTGTGCAAACTCCCTTGTGTTTTTTTTCCAGTCCTTCTGCTTTCCTATTAAAAGCTGACCACACTAGGCGGGAGAGGACAGCATGGTCAGTTCTCTGGCTGTGCTAGGAGCTAATCCAATGATCAGGCTTGTGCTGACCCTCTCCACCACCCCCTTGCCAGTGGTGTATTTAGATTTTGTGTGCTGCCCTAGGCAACAGAAAAATCATCTGCCCCAACGGACACGATCAACCCCCCCCCCCCCCTCTCATGGAGAGAGCCTGACCAACAACACCCCCCTGCCCCCTACCTGGGAAAACCTTCCACTAACCCCCCCCCCTCCCCCCCTGGGCAATAGAGAGAAAAACATCCATCTTCACTGCTCCGGGCATCCCCAGTGAGAGTCAGGCTCTACATACACCATCAAGCAGCCCACAGCCTCTCTTGGATCCCACCTGGTTCCCATAGTGTGTGTGTCCCTTCTTTCATCCCTTCTTCTGGGGGAAGGTGCTTCCCCCCTGAAAAATGTGATTCTAGGCAAGTGCCTTGTTTACCTTGTGGTCCCTTGTGGCCCCTGCCCCTTGCACAGCCATTCACTGAGAAGGTCAGTGTACTGCTGTTTTTTCTCCTCCAGCTCTCTGAGCTCCATCTGCAGCTGAGAACAGAGGGACTGTTATAACATATAAAAAAGGGAAACAGTGTATTTATAAAGTTTTTTTTATATCTATACACAAATGTTTTGCCTTTCGAATTCTATTTTAAACTATATGGGCTGTTTTACAAGGTGAGGGTTTACATATACTTTAATTTATAAGCTTAAAGTGTTACTAAACCCACAACTGTAAAATCAGTCTGTATATGCAGTAAAGCATGCTTGTTATACTCACAGTGGAACCTAAGGGGTTAATCCTCTGCATTGTGTAAAAAGGATGTTTGATCCTGGCTTCTCTGATCCTCCCCTTCTTCCATAGTCCTCAATCCATCTGCTGATATTTCAGAGCCCTAGAAAGCACTATGCACATGCTCAGTTTAATGTGTATTGCTAGAGAGTTGTTTTTTTTCTGGGGAGGGGGCATGTGATTGGCACAGGGCCAATCAGCACTGTCCGTACAGGGGGTCAGGGGACAGTCAGCCTCATGGGACAGTCAGAGAATTAAAATTCCTCCTACAAGATTAACCAGTGCTCGGCTGGACACTGATAGAAGTCGCAAGACTGCTATATACTGCTGATGAGAAAAATTATTTAGCAGTTTATATTTACTAAAATAATTGCATTTCCATGTTCTGTGTACTGTGGGCAGGGCCATGGATAAGGGGGTACCACCAGTCCTCCTGTACAGGGCCCAGGCCAGCAGAGGGGCCCAGGCAGCTGGGTGAAGCAGATGTGGGCAGGAAGGATGATCAGCACGGCTGGGGGGCAATTGCTAGAACCGATCCCCTGTTTGGCTCTCTCTGCAGCAGCTGAAAACTGGCTTCTTCTCCTTTCCCTCCAGATGGCTTTCAGCTGCTGCAGAGACAGACATATGGGGGATCAGTTATAGTAATTGCCCCCCCCCCGCCACACCCCATGACCCTTCCTGTGCACCATACATTTCCCCCTACTGCCTAGGCCCCCACCCCTGTAGTGTTGCCAGCTTC